AACTCAACCTAAATAATTTCAAATTAACTTTTCAAAATAGAACTCATAACCAAAACCACATGAATCGCTGCATATACAGCCATAGAACTTCATACACTTAAACAACCTCAATTGACATCAAATAAAACTGAGTACGGACTCACTTTTGACTTAAGAATATGAACGATAACACAATCTATAGGTATATGCATAACATATTACTTCTATACCTTGTCTTCAGGCCCTCACTCATTGCATGAAAAGGGGTGGTTTGATCCATGAGAACAACTACCTTATAGAGTGAGTTCCTCGCATATATACAGATTGGCCCGAAACAAACATTCTATGCATTCGTCGGCAAGAATTTGCATAACTCAGTGCACAACCTGCTTCGATGTACTCAGCATCAATTGAAACTAAACATTTGAGTGTAGTGAGGTATAAAAAATTTAAATTTGAAATTCCAAAATATGTTTGCATTAGTCTTAGGACATTATGCTTAACATACATACCTTGGCAGCTTGATTTATGATCAACTCGTAAGACCTACAACTCCTGATAAACAGCAACATACCCTATCTTGCATCATCGAGCCTGGTCATGCATGGTTTTGCATGCGGTTAGATAGTTTGGATGGCGGCTTTTCTATCGGACTAATGCTAATATCCAACAATTTCCTTGGTCAAATAATCAAACTCTTTGTAAAGTTGTATGTCTACGCTTAGAGGTGGTTTACTACTTTCGATGAAGCTCTTGATTATTCAAACACTCAAAATCTTCAAATTTGCACGGTGTTCAAAACCCCCGTGTTGAGGAGAACATCAAGGAGTCGTCTATTTTGTCGAGAGGTTTGGTTGATAGGCTCTATGAGATATGTTGCTTCGGTTGATCGATCAACAGATGAGTCGATTTATTTTGTCGCATGAGTCATGACTCACATGTTATTTGTCTCAAGTCTTACATGACCCGTGTCTCACCTACCTGGTCAATTCATTGACTCGATCTCTCACAAGATTTGTGGCGGATCTCGTCGCTACTTATGCGGGGTATCCGACGAGACTCATCACCGAGATGATTTGTGCTTCACTCTCAATGAATCTTGTCGCTACTGAGTGAGGAACCATCTTCGAACCTTTGACCTACCCAGGGTTTAGAGACGTAGTTTCTCATGCTTGCCTTTGAATTGTCGGTCAATCGCTTGCCTTGGAGGGAAGCTTTGCATTCTTGGACATTTGTTCTCTTTGAGATTCATGTTGTCAGTTATAGTGCATACAATAACATTAAAATCTTAGTTATTTATAAAATTAACACACTCGTGACACAATTTTTTAAATACTAGCCTAAATATCAAAACACATAGTAAAATATTCCAATGTATATTTAGCTACCGTCAAACTCTCAAATGGTTTATTATTATTATTATTTTATTTTTTACTTTTATTATTTTGGTTTTTTTTATTAAAATGAAATTTTGCTTTTTTTATTTTGTAAATACACAAATTTTGGGTGAGTTATTTGACAATTGAATTTATAAATGATTTAAATTCCAATAGCATATATGTATGTAATTCATCTTCCTACTTATATATATACTTGTTGTGAGATATTCTAATTTAAAATCGGGAGCGCATATTCTGTATAGACTCCTGACGTAGCTCTACACGCGGCAGAAGTTATTCTTGAGTTATTTTTAGGTTATTTCTGGGTTATTTTTAATAATCCTGAAATAACCCAAAAAAAATTCGCAATCTTTATTTTTGGATTATTTCGATATTATTGAAAATAACACAGAAATAATCTGAAAATAACTCAAGAATAACCTCCGTAGCACGTAGAGCTATGTCAAGAGTTCGCACAGAAAAATTCAGACAACCTGAAGCTTCTTTAGAATGATAAGGTATTTTTTAGCGAAGTTATTGTTGTATGCGTTGTATTTAGTTCAATGCTATTTTGCTAAGCTGTGTAGTATTATTTATAATAATTAATGATGGTTCTCGTCAAGAATAAATTTTGACATAACTTTCAAATATCAAAACATCATATATTTGGCCAAAAAACATTAGGAATTAATTTCAAGAGCATCCAAATTATATTTATAGAAAACTTATACATAGAATAATGACACCAAAAAAAAACTTCAATTAGGGTATATGATTTCATTGACTCTCTATGTAAAATTTAAAATTCATTTGGGTCATTTAAGACTAGGGCTGTCAAAACGGTTCGTTGTTCGCGAGCTGCTCTTGTTCGGCTTGTTAAGAAACTCATGTTCAGCTCGTTCGCTAAGTTAACAAGTCAAACAAGTCGTTTTGGCTCGAAATACTACTCATCAATTATATATCTATATATTGATGAGTAGTATTTTTTAAAGATTTAATTAACAAAAAGGCTATAAAAAATTATAATCAATTAAAAGTATTAATTAAGAAAATAGAAAAAAAATTATTAAATTAGATCCAAATAATATTTTAATATAAACAATAATTTTTAAGTCTTGCCCCAATCATTAACATATTATGGCTACGTTATTAGGGTTGTCGGTTGTCAAAACGACTCTTTGTACTCTTTGTACGTGAACGGCTCATGTTCGGCTCGCTAAGCAAACGAGTCCAACACGAACACACTTTTTGAGCTCGAAATATAAACCAGCAAAAAACGAGCTGAGCTTGGCCTCGCTCGTGTTCGACTCATTTACACCCCTATTTAAGACCCTACATTATTTAAATTTACAACTAATACCCAAAATTTAATACTTCACCTAAATACTACTAAGATCCAACCATCATTTGAAACCCCAAACAAACATCTTTATTACTTCACCTAAAATTTTATTTATACATCTCAACCGACCCCAAAAAAACTAACATCAACTTATAAAATATTATTTATTGATTGCAATAAGAGTATTGTTTATTATTAAAAAAAAATGAAAATGAATGATTGGTGAATGGTAAAAGAAATCTAAAAAAATTGACCTTATAATAATTTGAAAAAGATTAATGATAAATGATTGCTCAACTAAGCCAAAAAAAAAAAAATTCATGGGCATTTATGGGCTAATAACGAACATATATTATAGTGCAAGACTGCTCACCTAATCAAAATCAATATATTTTCTTATGTAACATGTAAGTATAATTTTATAGCATGCATAATTAGTAGGTATTTTAAAATAAAATTTTAAATAAGTGTGTGTGTGTGTGCGCGCGCGCGCGTGTGTGTGCGTGTGTGCGTGCCGCATTCCTTGTCCAGTTGGTAGGCAGGGTCACTGTAAGTCCCCTCTGGCAAGGGTTCGATCCCTACTGTGGTGCGTAGGGGGTCGAATTATAGGCACATGGCGCGGGCTCTCATCACGAGGTTGGATTGAGCATGAGAAATTTATATATATATATATATATAACAAAAACAAAAGAACCAACAAGAACAACAATAAAAGCATTAACCAAAACAACAAAACCAATATCATTTGCAACAAAAAAATAATATCCTTATATTAATTTTTATAAGCAGAGCTCCATCAAGTCAAGACAAGCTGAGAAATGAATCCAAAATCTCCATTTAGTTACAATCCTCCAAAGCCATTTTCTAGTTTTGGCAGCTATAATCCCAAAATAGAGTTGTCAAAAGAGTTCATTGTTTAGAAACAAGCTATTATTCAGCTCGCTATGCAACTTGTACTAGATTTATATGTTTAACAAGCGAGCCGATCATGAACAATTTTCTTAGCTCAATTTATAAACGATCTAAACACTTATTCGGTCATGTTCGGTTTTTTCTCGCTCAATTTAATTAAATAAATGAATAATTATTATTATAATAAAATTTTAACATTAATTTTTTTATGTTGTATTTAAACATAATAAATTATATTATTTTTAAAATCTTATAAGCTAATTTTGAATCAAACTAATTAAAACGAACAAACAAATTTGAATCAAGTCGAATGTGAAATATATCGTTCATTAGCTATTTCAAATACGAGTCTACTTCAAACATTAAAAAAGAAAGTAGCGTTGAACTCCATGAGTGCCAGGCTCACTCAAACTCGGCTCATATACGCCTCTATCGCCAAAGCTGAGGTATCCGACTTCAACGACACTAAGCCACTTCTATAGTACTCAGTCTATGTAGAAGAATGTCACAACAAGGACCTATCTCAGCACAATTTACCCATTGGGAAGTCCATTGAAGGAAATAGACTAGATAGCTCTACACCACCAACCTTGCTCAATACATGCTACAAAAATAGAATTGTGTTTGTGAACAAACACGTCCTAATAATCGAGTCGAGCTAACTTACTAATATATTACATAAAACTCTACATGAAACTTTAAATAAACTTATAGATAACCATTTCTCTAATGTACATATATTATTGAATTTCAAATAAGCTTCTCCATTAGCTTATTCATTTTATTCATATCTAGTAACTCTTTTTTAGTTTATGGGGGCATGCTCACACATACCATATTCCTATATATTTTCATATTTGACACCAAAATTTTTATTTTTTTTATATTTAAACAGTTTAAATCTTTCATATCACATCAAAAATATAATCATTTTAACTTTTAAAAAGTAAAGTACGTGTTCTTACATATAGGTAAAGTGATATGAATGTAAAAATTAAAGTTCAGATTTTAAATATGTAAATATATAAGAATTGAATGGGATTTATGTAAGACTACCCCCCTATATTTAATAAAAAAGGAATATTTACATACATTTCACACAATTCTTATGTATTTACACATTTGACACCTAAATTTTGATATTTACATTTGTAACATGTTAGTTTCACAAACATATGCACGAAAATATATAATTCACTTTAAGAAAAAATAGGTATGACACTATTTTTGTCTGATGCGATGTTAAAAATTTGAGTGGTACGCATGAAGATACGAGAGTTTTAGGTGTTAGATGCAAGTAAATACATAAGAATTGTGTGGTATGTATGTGTAAATGCCTCTTAAAAAAAATACAATTGAACATGAATGGTGTATCAAAACAAAAAGACTGACAAAAGGATCCATATGAATTCAAGAAAGTTGTCTCTATCATACATTTTTAACATTCATTTATCACTTCATTATAAAAAAAAAAGATTAGAAGGGATATAAATCATAAAAAATTCTTGATTACAAGACAAATTTAGCCCCCACACCGTCTAAAAATAGCCTGTAAAGCAATGCATTTAAGTAACCTTATCCCCAGGAAAACAAAGGGAAAGCTACCTATTTTGTTATTTAGCTGCAAATAACAAATTTGCATGCAAAACCTTTTGGGAATCTCCGCATCAAAGAAGCCATTTGCGAAATATTAAACTTCAGGACCTGGAGCAAATAAATTTATTAGGCCATGACAGGCTCTTACTGTAACCTGGCAAGCTTGGAAGAGTTCTCCATCCAAGTTCCAAACACTGGAGTCATGATTTGCAACGAAGGTGAATGCAGGCGTCTACAATGAGCAAAAGACAATTAACAAAAGCCTCTCTCTTGACAATTAACTGATTAAAAAATTTAAAAAATAGGCTTACTTTATGATGTTCCACAAAACTGAAATCCAGTGGACTAGAATTCCTCCTTGTTAGCTTAGTTAGGTGCCTGGAACAATGTATTAACAGCTTAATTTTCTAAATAAGTCAAAAAAAAATTACATAATCAAGTTCATAAATAAAAAGGAAGCAAAATGAGAAAAAAAAAAGATTTTCAATGGACTCAAGAGAGAAATGGCTAATTTAAAAATGAATTTACTATCTTTGAGGAGTTTCCTGTAGCATCTATAGAATAGTGTTCAAATTTCCATGTTCTGAATCTTCATATTTTGGCTTGTAAATTGCCAAAAACGTTAAAAAAGGACTAAATACCAATTCTTGGTTTTATTATAAAATGCTAAACATATATTAAAAAAAGGGAAATTTATATATACACCACATAATTCTTATGTATTTACATAGCTAACACCCAAAATTTGATATTTACACTTACAACACCTTGTTGTCATAAACACATGCATGAAAGATGTATTTCACCTTTTAAAAAAAAATGATGGAAATGTTTTTGATGTGATTTTAAAGATTTGAGTGGTGTGCATGTAAATATAAATGTTTGAATGTTAGGTAAATACATAAGAATTGTGTGTTGAGTATGTAAATGCCCCAATAAAAAAAGGAATTGGAAGTTTCACGCAATGTAAAACACTTGTGAAACCAAGAAGCTTGCTTTCATCCATACAAGGTTATAATAAGTGCACCCAAGATGGAATAGAGACAGAAAATGGAGGTTCATGATAGGCTTGATACAGCACTCAGTATTGGCTAACAATTCTATTAAATCAATCTACAAAGATCCAAGATCTTTTAGGCTGACTATAAAGAATCAAATCAGACAGCAAAAGAGTTGAGCAAGATTAATTTTCAAGCTTTTCTAGACCTCTCGTCAATTTAAGTCAATTTTGCATTAATTCTATTTACTTTCTTTTTTTCATTTGATTAACTTTGACGAAGATAAAGAATAACGTCATCCTTAATTTTAAACCAAGTCCTCATGTATGAACTACTAGATGAATAATGATGAATGATTTGTTTTATGACGTCATTGATAGTTGATTGTTTCTTCCTCCATTGATTTATGCTGTGTGCAAATGGTTCTAGACTTTATACGTGCTTTATTCCACCACCCACCTCATGCAATGAATTTTATGGTATTTTAATTATATGCTTGTTCTTCTCTCTTAAAGCACTCTGGAGTACCATCTATCTTCCAAAAGCTCAAAACAGCTTTAAACCCTAGCCTTTTCCTTTTCTAACTAAACAACGAAGATAAGTTCAAAAAACCCTCAATTCATTTGGTATTAGAATACTAATCTTTTATATCAAAGTTGAGCACTTCAACTTTAGAAACAAAAAAATCATGCATTAAAAGAAGGGTTTCATGATATGGTTTTTCAAGCAAATAAAAATTTAGTATGATGTGATTGTTTTCTTCTTCCCCACCTCTTCATAATCTTATTCTTCCACTTGCAATCAAAAAACCTTAATCCTTCTTAAAACTAGATCAAACCTAATCTTTAAACCTTAATGATCCTTAATGAGTACTGTGGAATTCTGAATTTTCTATTTTAGTATTGATCTTCTTTATTCTCTTTTTATTATGACATATTTCTTTCCTTATTGAGTTATTTTTATTTTTGAGAAGTAATAACGGCTGTAATTAAATTTGCACTATTCATTCCTTATTATATAAGGAGAAGAGTTGTAATTTGATGATTGAGAAAAAAGAAAATACAAATTTCTCCACCTTTCTTCATGGTATCAGAGATCCATGCTATTATTCAATAACATTAGAGCATCTTTCAATGGCCAACTTTGGCTGGATTGCTCGACTATATCCTTCCTTTGTCCGCGTAGATTGGTACTGTCGAACGCTTCAACTAGATCGGCATTCTTTCCTAAACGATCATTTAAATCATTTGTTCGTCACGTCAATTGAATCACTAACCGAGAACACTCATTTGCTTCATTTGAATCGCATGTCGACTTTATCTCACTGTGCCCACAACACTAGTTGAAGCTTCATCTTGTTCCATCGCATCATCTTTCGATGTTAGGCTCTGAGTCATGCGGTTTCATTTGACAGCACTGCTTCTCTGCCTTGTCTAAATCGACATTGTATGCATCGTCTGTGTCACATCATCTGCGAGGTTCGTCTCTGGCTGAATCATGCGGCTAATTTCTGAAGCATTGAATCAAAACCTAGCTTCCTCTTGCCGCCGGAACCCTTCCAACATCTTCTGGAATCTCCTCTGGCAGCTTGTAGGCCCTCATATATTCTTCCCTATAGCCGAAACTCTTCCCACGGACCCCCCTCTGTTCATCATTACTACTGGAATTCCCCCCCTCCCGATAGTCAGAATCCTCCCTGTTGAAGGCCCTCCTCCATTGGAATCCTCCTAAATTCTCTGCAGCAATCAACTTCTCGCCTCTTATAGCAAGCAGCAACCGCAGAAACTCATTCCAGCCGTTGTTCTCTTGACAGCTGTCGGAATCCCTGCAACAGGCCTGCAGATCCTTCCTGGTTGTTCCCTATAGCCAAAAATCCCTACTGCAAACGATCTTTCACCGGATTCTCCTTGCAAGCCCTCCATTGTTCAGCTTGTTTCCACTGGACCTCTCTCCTGCCACAACAGCAACAGCCAACCACATCTCTCAACAGCTGTCGGACCTCTCTTTTGACATAGTAGCAACAACTAAATCCACTTCTATAATAGCCACTCTCTAGTGGAAATTATGTGTTGGCAGCAGATAGTTTTTCTGTCCAATGAAACTCCTGTGTTAGCTACAACAAACAATTTCCCTTTCTAGTAAAAATCTTGTGTCGACGCCAGACAATTTCCCTCTCTAGTGAAATCCTCTTCTATAACAACCACTCATCGGACCTTTCTTCCTATAACAGTAGTGACCAACTTCCTCCTTGCAAGAAGCTACAACCCTAAATACACATGATTTATAACACAATACAGTACAAAGATGTCGAGTTCCACTCTGAAGATTAATAGTCGTCCAACATTGCAAGAAACTTGGTCACACAAAGTACAAGTGCTACTACACAGACATGTACCAGAAAATTATATCATGCATTATTGATCAAAGCCAACTTTCTACAACTTGAGCACCTCCTCCACAGCCTCCACCTCATGCATTTATGCATTAGATGGTTTAAGGTATGACCTCAAAAATAAAAATAAACAAAATTAACCTCATATAACTATAACAACATGGCCACATCTTTGTAGCTTCTCGAGAGAAAAGTTCTTCGTTAACAAGATAAGTTGATGCCATTGTCGATGTGATATCGAGCCAATTTTGAGAAATTTAGGCTCAATTCAGACTTAAATTAAAAATAGATGTGTAACTCAAATATGACTCAATTGAAGTCATTTTTAGACGAGACGAGCCAACCAGACTTGAATGATGCAATTTTAAGTTGAGTAAAATTAATTTTGTTGAATCAAATTTAGGTTTTAATAAAATAATTATAAATATAACATAAAAAATATTAAACTATGTAGAATACATATACTATATTATATACATTGTATATATAAATACTTATTATGGGTACTATTTTAAGTTGACTCAAAATTGTATTCAAGCAAGTCAAAGCAAACATGAAATTCATTTCACCTTTGTAGTGGAGCTTGAAATAAAAGTCAAATTTCAAGTGTGCTTTGGAATATTTTTGCAATCCCATGTAGTTCTATTAGTATTAGCCGGCCATTCAACTAAATCAACTAATATAGATATTTTTTTGTCATAGAAAAGCACAATAAGTCAAACAAAGCTGCAAAATAACTGATTTAGGCCAATTTTCAAGCTTTTATAGAACACTCATCAATTTTGACTGAGTTTAATAACATAAATTTTCTTCTTTATTATACTAAATGTAATAATATAAGGATGGCATCGTTCTTAATTTAGAGTTTCATTTCCCTTTATAAATAGACCTTATGTATGGATTTTCAATTGATTAATGGATAAATTATTTAATGAAGCCATTGATGCTTGATTGCTTCTTTATCCATTGATTCCAAGTTGTGTACAAGACCCTCTTCCTCTATCACCTCCACATTGAAGGTGTTTTATGAGATTTCCCAGTTCTGCGTTTGTTCTTTCCTCTTTAAGAACTCTATGTATCATCCTTCTCCCGTAAACTCTCTACAAAGGACCTTAAACCCTAGCCTCTTCCTTACCCATTGGCCTATTAAAAGTAAATTCTACAAGCTCCTCCATCTATTTGGTATTTGAGAATTCATCAACATCAAAACTAGGGTTCAACCACAATGATGTTATAATCTTCAGCGGTAATTAAAAATCACTTGAAAGATAAAAAAAATGAAATAATACTAATAAAAATAGTGAAAATAATGCGTTCAAGTAATCATAAACTAAAAGCTATAATACCTCACTATTTCATTAAATTATCATTAAATTGAAAAAATAACCTTGCTAAACATTTATAACATATTAATGCAAATTTTCGAAGGAACCTGAGATAAAATAACCTTTAGTGTAAAAACTCAATTAAATTTAAAAAAGAAATAATCTTGCTCAACAGTTATAACACACTAATGCAAATTTGCAAAGGAACTTGAAATAAAATAACATGAAGTGAAAAAACTCAATAATAAATAGGCTTTGACTATTTATTGAATATATGAATATTGTTGGTAGTATTAAAAAACTAGTGTGTATGTCACAACATGACACGGGACGGTGATAATCAAAATTTTTTATTTTCATTCTATAATTAACATTATTTATCCAAAATAACTGAAAGAGCCGATACATAAATGAAATTAAATTAAAACAATTAAGTTTAACTTAGTTCGGGCTACCCACAAGTCTGAAATAAGTGATGCACTCCATATCATGCAAGTATCCATATCATGCAAGTATCCATATCATGCAAGTATAAGTGTCGATCAGGTAATATACAGATTATGAGTCCATGTTATCTATCTCAAGAGGAATGGGTTATCTTTCAAAGAAGTTTAATTACTAGTTTACTGATCCTAAGTTTTAGTCCAATATTTTGCTAGTTAT